GAGAGAGAGAGAGAGAGAGAGAGAGAGAGAGAGAGAGAGAGAGAGAGAGAGAGAGAGAGAGAGAGCACTGGCAGTACTGCCAGTCTGAAGACTCTGAGGTTTTGAATTGAACTGTAAAGCTGGAACGTTCTAGTTATATATGAAGTTATGAACTTAAATTACTAAAATCCAAAGTTCGAAGTTCAAAGTTAATCATACTTTTTTTTTTTTTTTTAATTCTCTGTTTCTTTAGTCTTGTGCCTGCTTTGCACTGTTTGCAACTCTGCATGTCTGCTGGTTAAATGTGCTGGTTGCTTTGCTGCAAGACACGTGCTCTGCTGCCTGAACTACAGAGTGCAAAGCAGGTAAGTGCCTGCCAACAGCCCCACCGAACCTCCCCCCCAACCCCGTTTTTTTTTTTGGGGGGGGGTCCGGACATTTTTGCACCCCCGGGAACGGTCCGGACTGTCCGATGTCCGGTGATGTCCGGATCACCGGACAGTCCGGACCGGTCCAGACACTGGTCCGGAAGACAGTCCGGAAGTGTCCGGTGTCCGGGTCCGCGGTTACCATTATCTGTTGCCAACGAATTGACAGCCCTCCTCCAGACCCCGGTCATCAGCTGGGGCTCCTCCCCCTCCCCAAGGGCCCATGCCTACTTGCTCTATCCTCAGTAGTAGACTGTCTCCCACCTATCAGCAGATTCCGGTCATCTGATAGGTACTTCCTATAGGGATCGGAAGGGACAGACTACAGACTCAGTAGGTGGTGGGCCATCATCCGTCCTTTCACTAGCCCCCAGCCTTGTCCCTCCGAGGTGCCTATCGTGGTTGTACCTGTAGTCAGTATCTGGGGTAGTGTCTATTATGTGTGCGTGTGATATGTGTGGTAGATACAGGCCTATCTGGACAGGACCCCCCCAAAGTCCGGAACTGGACTCTAACCTGTGACCTACAGTATAAGACTGGAGGGTTCTACCACATGCACTACCGTAGGAGGTGGATATAATGTGTGAAATATCTAGGCTGGGGGAGATCATCAGAGCGCCCAAAGCCGACAACAGCAAGCAACCAATGTGAAGTCTAGACCAGCATACAACACCCATGGACTAACCCCCTGGGTGGTGTGCAGGCAGTGTCTGTAATAGTACCATGCATCAGCCCAGGGTGTGTGTGTCCAGCTGTGCGTCATTCTAACGCCCTGCCGGTGTCCACGCGCAAGGCTGCTGAGTTTTGAACCCACAACCTTATACTACAATGCGCATTTCCAACCGGTGCTCTAACCACTGAGCTGCATCAACTGTACTACAAAAGCAACATTTAGGAGTCCACGGACGTTACAGCTCACATATGGGTCTCGCTCCACCACTGTCACCTGTCCGATTTTGGATAGTACTGCATCGCGCTCCATTACTATCCAATTCTGAGAATTGGAAAAGTACCGGATATCTGCTGTCAGAATCGTCTCTACGTGAGAGAGAGAGAGAGAGAGAGAGAGAGAGAGAGAGAGAGAGAGAGAGAGAGAGAGAGAGAGAGAGAGAGATGAAGAGGATGACGTGAGGGCACATACCAGGTATTGGCGATAGTCTGCATTGGGCGACATCTTCATGTACTTCGGTGGCTGCTGACGTCAACAGTTGCATCGTCAATTTGTAGGCAGATAGTAGAGGTGTGGGGAGTAGTCTGGGCACCGAGCGCCAAGTAGGGGGAAGGGCCTGGACACTTATGTTGGTGATGACGAGAGTAGGCTCTCATTGACATTCGATTTCAGTGTTTCGATTCTCCATTGTTGTAATATTGGTGCAACGCTGTTTTCTGGAAAAAAAAAAGAAAAAAAGAATCGTCTCTACGAATGCACTCTCCAACATTGGATAGATCCTTCCCCGCCTACAACGGTGGTTATTTGGAAGATCCTCCGCCGAAAGAGCGATGGGATCCTGAAATTGGAGAGTGTACCTAGAGTCTGGGCGGACAAATCTGGGTAGACTTGTCTTTCACGATTGGAGTGCTTGGATAGTCATGCCGAGGACAGTTGTGGAGGGGTGGCACATATATAACGTGGCGAGCCTTGTACGTTAGAGGCACGGTGGAGGAGGCATTAAGAAGACTGAGAATCGGAGGGGACAGGCAACAGGCAACAATAAGGACAGGAAAGCCCGAGTACATGAGTCAGTTGTCTGATCACTGTCAGTCACGGGAATGTCTTGTAATACGAGGGACGCTGGACCCGGTTTCCAGCAGGTGCTGCTCCCCACCAATATATGGAGCCTTCAACCGCGGAGCCACTTAGGGGGGCTGCTCATATCACCTCCCTAAGTGGTGGCCACAACTCGAAGTTTGAAAAAAAAAAAAAGAAAAAAAAAAAAAAGAAAAGAAAAAAGAAGACTGAGAAACTGAATGACTTCAATGTGTCTTTGTTTTTTATTTTTATCCCTTGATAAGTGTAATTTTTTTTTGTAAAACACTGAAAGAAATAAGAATACAGTGAAACAAAGATAAGAGGACACTGTTTTGTGTCATTCTGGTTTGTCTGTCTCTTTGCCTGTCTGTCCTTTCATTTTCTTTTCTTCGCTCATCTGACTTCTTCTTCTTCTACTTCACGTGCTTATGCTCTTAGTCAATAGTTCTGTGACAATATTAACTTTATGGACAGCGAACAGTGGTGGAGCGACACCCAATGTTTCCATATGGGATGCTGGGCCCAGTTCGCAGCACGTGTTGCTCCCAGCGAATAGATTGGAGCACTGTTCCAAAAAAAAAAAAAAAAAAAAAAAAAAACTCCCAATGTTCGCCATTGTTCATCCACCGGCGCTCGACCCTTCTGTCGTTGTGCTGCTCAGACCGAGAGGAGAAACTGTCTCCCGAATTAGAGTCCATAGCTTGGTGGGCAAGAACCGAGGTCTGCCAGTTCTTGTTCCTCTGGTGGCTCATGCATCTGAGGAAGGCTGTGGTTGGTCTGTCAGTCGTCATCAGGTACACTCTGTCCCAGTTTTTTTCTCAATGTCATTGTAGATGAAGCTGATCCATTTGCGCAGCCCTTGATCTGACGGCCTCAGATAATGAGCTAACTCAATTTCCTTTTGCATCTGGGCTGCCACCGGACTCGAAACAAAACCCAGGCTGGGTTTCAGAAGCTAAGCTGGGGAGTGCTCCCAGTATTTCACCCCTGAAAAATCTTCGGATAGCTGTCAGAAACCGCATTCGAAAAGCACTCTCCGCTGGTGGAGACTGCCCAGCCTGCAACTGTGTTTTTTTTTGGATGCACCTCCTCCCGACTCTCCAAGTTGCTCTGAATTCGGAGAGTTCGCATGGAGTCTGGGCGGAAAAAATGCAGATCACTCCGTGTCCCCCACCGCTGTCACTGTGTCCGCTAGTGCACTCACCAATTGCAGTCTCGGAGAGTGGAGAGTTAGTGCAGCGGTGAACCCAAAATTACGAATTTGGGGAGTTTTGCAGCTATCCGCGCACTCTCTGGTTTTTCGGAGAGCGGAGAGTAGTGCAGTGAGACCCCTAAGCAATTTGAAAAGCTCCACTGGTGGCTAAGCATAGGAACAGAATGGACACACACACACACACAGATATATATATATATATATATATATCGTCAAATATATATATATATATACCTCGTTTGTTGTCCTCTTCTCCCTCTCTGCCTACGGTTTACCGGGCAGTTCTATTTGACGATATATATATATATTCTATTTGACGATATATATATATATATCTATATATATAGTTCTATTTGACGATATATATATATCGTCAAATACAACTGCCCGGTAAACCGTAGGCAGAGAGGGAGAAGAGGACAACAAACGAGGGGCTGTGACAAACTGTTTCGTCGGAGTTTCACCGACTCATCAGGAGGCTGAACCCTCAACAGTCTGTAGAATCCCCTC